GGAGTCGAGGAGGGGGATTTGATGAAATGAGAACGGCCCAAGGAGGAAAACATTTTTTTTTAAAAGGTGGAAAATGAAAACAACATAAAATCAAAACCATGACACAATGGATTGTGTGAATAAACAACAACAACAAAAACAGAAGTGGCTTCTCAATTTCTTTTCATTTTCCAGGCTGTTTCATCAACAACAAATAGAGATGTTACAAATGCTTAAATGAAATTGAAAGTGGAGTCACTATGCATGAGAATGGTATACTACAGTATCTGTCTATTATATTCAGGGGAAAAAACACACAGACACAATCTGCTGGTATATTATATGTGTGTACACACTGAGTCGTTGCCTCGGGCTCTCTGTAAATTACCAACTTGAATACTTATACATTATATAATGCGCTAATCACTCAGTTTGCCATTTTGTGTAAAGATCACAGACATCTTCAACAGGTCCCTGCTGCAGTCTGTAGTCCCCACATGTTTTAAACACTCCACTATTGTTCCTGTCCCCAAAAAGACAAAAATCACCAGCCTCAATGACTACCGCCCAGTAGCACTCACCTCCATCATAATGAAGTGCTTTGAGCGGTTAGTCAAAACCTTCAAAACCTTCATCACCTCCTCCCTCCCTGACTCTCTGGACCCCCTGCAGTTTGCCTACAGAGCAAACAGGTCCACAGACGACGCCATAGCCCTTACCATCCACACTGCCCTCTCACACCTGGACCAGAGGAACCTATGTGAGAATGCTCTTCATTGATTACAGTTCAGCATTCAACACCATTGTGCCCTCCAAGCTGGTCATCAAGCTCAGAGACCTCAGGCTCAACAGCACCCTCTGTGACTGGATCCTGAACTTCCTGACGGGCAGACCCCAGGCAGTGCGGGTGGGAAACATCACATCCTCAACCCTGATCCTCAACACCGGAGCCCCTCAAGGCTGCGTGCTCAGCCCTCTCCTCTACTCCCTGTTCACACACGACTGCGTGGCCACACACAGCTTCAACACCATCGTGAAGTTTGCTGATGACACGACCGCCATCGGCCAGATCACTGACGGCGACGAGACGGCGTACAGAGAGGAGGTCGAAAACCTGACATCTTGGTGCCAGGATAACAACCTCCATCTCAACGTCAGCAAAACCAAGGAGCTGATTGTGGATTACAGGAAGCAGCAGAGAGAGGGACACGCCCCCATCGCCATCAATGGGACTACGATGGAGAGAGTCAGCAGCTTCAGGTTCCTCGGTGTCCACATCACTGAGGACCTGACATGGACTCTTCACACCACTACCATCACCAAGAAAGCTCGACAGCGGCTCTTCTTCCTCCGCAGGCTGAGGAGGTTCAACATGGACTCCAGGATACTCTGCAACTTCTACAGGTGCACCATAGAGAGTATCCTGACTGGCTGCATCACGGCCTGGTACGGCAGCTGCACCGCCCTCAATCGTTAGGCTTTACAGAGGGTGGTGAAAACTGCACAGAACGTCACCAGGACGGAGCTGCCATCCATGGAGGACCTTTACTCCCAGCGCCTCAGGAAGAAATCCCTCCGGATTATAAAAGACCCCCAGCCACAAACTGTTCTGTCTGCTGCCGTCTGGCAGGCGTTACCGCAGTATCCGGACTAAAACCACCAGACTCAGGGACAGTTTCATCCCACAGGCAATAAGACTGTTAAACACCTGAACTGTTGAAGCAAAATCTGTTAAACACCTGAACAGTTGAAACAACATCCCTAATATTCATCTGGCTGCTACTTAAAAATTATTTTAAAATTATTTATCTATTTACCTATATATCCTATTTCAATAACTTGCATATAGACTCTTATTGCACTATTTCACTATTTCACTTTTTTAAAACTATTTTTCTTTTTGTATTACTATTTACTTGCACTATATTTTTTCTATTTATCTGTGTTTTGTGTTGCTCTGTTGGAGAAGCCTGTGACACAAGATTTTCATCAGCATAACTACACTGTAGCTATGTTCGTATGACTAAATAAAGAACCTTGAACCTTGAACCTTGTTACAAACTCCAAATAATGAAATTGCATTTCAGACAAAACTATGAATGTTTAATTTTTAAAGTAAAAGCCAGGCAAGTCATTGCATCATCGGTGAATCATAAGAGTCTGAAAAACATTATTTGCCAATCCTTTCTGTAGATGTTGATATATTTCCAAATATTGGTTTTAATATTGTGGTGACGCACCACATAGAAGCCCACTCAATCATCAAACATCATAAAAAATCTTCTCCTACATATTTTGCTCTGAAACCAATATAAAATCACACAAAAGCCTCAGAAAATGATCGAATGGATTACCCCTAAGTATCAGACTCTCTGATAATCTGAGTTTCCTTTGTTTTTCTTCAAGTGCCAATTCTGTTTGCTTTCTGTAAATCGAATCACGACTCATTGCACAGAGCTTTGAACAAAGGCCATTGATTTGTATATCTATCTATAGGACTATGACTCATCACTGTTTCTGAGGATAATTTGAGACAGGACGGACTGAATCAAACAGTATTTAGGCTCTGTGGGACTGAATTCCGTCTATGAAGCTACAATTTGACTATGTGTCAGTCATGTAAGCTAAATTGCAAGCCCCTGTGTTCACTCAGATACGGTATTTTGCTGTAGGCCAGTTTCAAATGTATAGTACTATTTTGTATTCATAACAGAGCTTGTTTCTTTAAGATTATGTTCAGAACATATGTGCAACATATGGTTTCAACAGGAAACAGAGTTCTCTCTATACCTCTCTAATGAACTAATTAACATACCTGCAGTGTACCTGCAGTGTTAGCATACCTGTAGCGTCTGCAGCTGCTGGTGCTGCATACATATTTGCAGTTATGACAGTGAGTCAGTGCACCCTCTTGTATCATCACATAGTATCCTGTATATTAAGCTGCTGAAAGCTTGACCACAGGCACTTCAGTAATAAAAGCTCCAGCAGAGCGGCCAGCCCTGAGTTATTTACATTGTCTTACTGCATGCCATTATCTGTTGCCATCTTCAACCAAGCATGTTGTAGTAAATGTATCATTAAGTCTCATTTAAGTATATAAATTGCTTCTCTGGTTGGATTTTGATTCTGTTAAATGCTATAACTCTTTATTAAATAACATAACTTTGGTTTAAGCTTATATATTTGTTCTTTTGGAATTTCCATCACACATGTATTTCAATGAACATTCAATGGGAACAGCAGAAGTTTTTCTATTAGGGCTGGACGAGGAAAAGGTTACCACTAGATGTTTTTTTTTATGTTGATTGATTTCATAAGTATGATTATACATATTTAACAATAATAATGATGGTCTCTTAAGAGTTTGAAGCGTATTCTACTGAGGACAGAACCCTAAAGAAACCAGAAGGTTAATTATGGTTTATAATATGTAGCATGAATAAACATGTTGGCGATTTACATTTAGGTGGGATGTGTTATGGAAATCACTGGTAGGCATGGACAGTATGTGCAGAACACTGTGAAAGAACACATCTTGCATATCAATGAGACCCTACTGGCTAAATAAAAGATTAATTCATTAAAATGTACTTTGGATCAGGACAGAATGGGGGGGTGTGAGGGTTGATTACAGTTTGTACAGTTTATATGACACTTCTTGTTGGTAATTGTAAAGTTGCGTGCTACTTTTGAGCATTTGCACCAGAGACTTCCGGATAACTTGTGGTTTAGCCCTATGCTAACTAGAATGGGGATAATATTTTAATCGTGCTGCTCTGCTAGTTTTTACAAATGTTATAAGAGGGGATTAAGGAAAATGAGAAGTTATTTGTCATGTTTTAGGTGCAAAAGTAGCGATAAATTAGAGACAGATTAAGCGCTAAGGTTAAGCTGCATCCACATGATGTAACAGCTTTCATCTGATTAGTTGGTCAGAGGTAAACTAGGTCAAAGTTGAAATAAATTGAACTCTGAGCGCAGTGCTCTGACCATAAAAACATAATGGAAACATCAGCGTAGGGCTGATTTGCCATGTGTACTTTGTACAGAAATATCTTTGTATGCATCAATATAATGCGTGTTTAGACTGCCAACGTTGACCTCTTCCACCATCACACTAGGCCTCTTTGTCAATTCACTCTTTAGCCAATAGCATACTTGAGACAGAAATGCCAACCAAAACTAAAATGTATTAAAAAATGCAAAGCAGGACACAATTATTATTTTCTCAAAAACGTGTCATAGAGCTGCAGAAACCCATCTTTTTCTTGTTACCAGACATCATTACATCTTATGATGGAGGATCTCTGTTCTGTTTAATGCTGCTTAAAATGCAATTTGCTGCAAATGTTATTATTATTACAGTATCTATTCAAAGCACAAATCATCTTTTTTTCAAGGTAATGATTTATATCGTTTTGGCTGCTTAACTTTGAGAGCGCAACCAAACTCAGACTGAAAGGAAAATCTACATTCAAATGTTATAACAACCGATTGTGCATCTAAATCAGGGGAGGCATTGCCCACATTGCATTAATGCATTTGTTCAGTCACCTTTTATGACTGTTCAGAAATCTAGAGCATCAAAAAAGAACTCTTTCTATCAGCATGACCATCAGCTTTGATATGTTCTGACTCATCTCATGCATAATCTTCCTGCATTTAGGTGGATTATGAGCACAGCACAGATCATGTTCTCACTCCATGCAAAGTGCTCCAGGCTGGAACTGCGTGCATTGTTATAAACCCAACCAACAATTATTTCTGGCTGAATTCAAAGCAGCTTCTCTCTCCTCGTGTTTCCAAAACAACACATTAAGAAGGAATAAACATATTTTTCAGAATCTCTGAAAATAAATCATAAACAGAGTTGGAGGGGATACTTTAATAACAATGACTAGTTACCTGTACACAATGCAATCAGAAACCAAATCTGAGTAAATAAAAAAGTAATGTGACCTAATACAGTCAGTTTTATGTCCAATGTGCTGCCTTAAAAGTAGTATTTGTACACCTACCCTGATCCAGATCATACTCCTCCATGGTACTGACAAAGTGAGGTCTAGAGTAGAAGTTGTGTGGCCCCGGTTGTTGGAGGCCCCCCAGGCTGAAGAAACTGCGCTCATTGGTAGCGCAGCAGGAAAAGGCCCTCCGGCTGGGGATGCAGGGGTAACGTGTCCAACTCTTCATCTCCAGGTCAAAGGCCTCCAGCGCCGTCACCGGCATCTTCCCCTGACGGCCACCTGAAGGAGGTCCAGAATCAGAGTCAATGCACCAATCCAATGTCTTTAAAAAGTGCAATATCACAAGTTACACATGTGTCTCATGGCTTTACAGTGTGTACAGCATACAGTACGACCCCCTCTGTCCTTAGACCCCAAGGAAAAAACAAGGAAAAACTCCCAAAGAGGATTAAAGCAACATGTTAGGGGTTTTTATTACGATCTGACCAAAAGTGAACTTTTTTATTGAGCACTAACAAAACAAAGTCAGAATTCTGAGGAGAAAGTCCAAGATTTGTGAGAGAAGTCAACATTTTGTTAAAAAAAAGACAACATTCAGAGAATAAATCAGAAAAAGTTTTCTCAGAATTCTGAGATTAAAGTGAAACGCTTTAGGTGTCGTGAGTTCAGATTAAGATGTGTAGACATTTACATCATAGAGAGTTCAAAAGTTTGAAAAGACTATGTTTATATATATATATAAAAATAAAGAAAAAGAAGATATAGTGGATTTCAACCATCTTCCAGGTTCTGGCAACCTGCTTGTAACATCTCCAGGAAAGCTGAGTTAGCATTTTTGGGAGATCAGTGCATAAAGATATAGAGGAAGAGAAGAGACATGAGAGTAGAAAGTCCCCTGACAGTGAAAGCCTATAGCAGCATAACTGGGGACTGGTTCAATGCCAGCCTGAGCCAGCCCTAACTAAGGAAAGTCTTAAGGCTACTGTTACATGTGGAGTAGTGTATGCCCCAAGAAGACAAACTGGAATCTGGTTTCACAGAGGAGCAAAAGGCTCTGGGTCAAAACACATTTAGCGTACATGTCTACAAAGCCTAAGATATTATAATGTACCAGGAAATATGATGCTGGAAAACCCTGGACAGCAAATCATTTCTGTATTATCATAAAGATGTTGACTCTACACGGAATATATTTTCAGAAATATGAGCATGAATTGAGTTACAAATACAATATTTCCTGTGAAACAGTTTGTCCTTGACTTTCATTTCCTTTTTATCCTTTTTTAATTCCCTGCTCTTGTCACAAAGTTTGCTTGGCATTTATGTCCAAGTCTGGCAAGCGTGCAGGGCAGCACTGGGACCACATTTCATTTTATTTTTAATGGTGTCTTCACAGGTCTCACTAAAAAATCTATTAGAAAGCTGCAGCTAATTCAGAACGCCGCTGCTCGAGTCCTCACTAACACTAAGAAAGTGGATCACATCACTCCTGTTCTGAAGTCCTTACACTGGCTTCCTGTGTGTCAAAGAATAGATTTCAAAATATTGTTGCTGGTTTATAAAGCTTTGAATGGTTTAGGCCCAAAATACATGTCTGACCTACTGCTAAATTATGAACCATCCAGAACTCTCAGGTCTTCAGGGACTGGTCAGCTTTCTGTCCCCAGAGTCAGAACTAAACATGGAGAAGCAGCGTTCAGTTATTATGCTCCAAATATCTGGAACAAACTCCCAGAAACCTGCAGGTCCGCTGCAACTCTGACTACTTTTAAATCCAGGCTGAAGACTTTTCTTTTTGCCGCTGCTTTTTATTGAACTATTCACATCTTAAACTGCACTGTAACTTTTAACTTTTATCCATGTATTTTTTCTTTTAATGTTTATTTTATTATCTTTTATTTTTAATGACTGATTTTAAATGCCATTTTCTTAATGTCTTCCATTTTTGTAAAGCACTTTGAATTGCCTTGTGTTGAAAGGTGCTATATAAATAAACTTGCCTTGCCTTGCCTTGCCTTGCCTTTAGACCGAAAACAAAGCGCAGCAGCAGGGTGCTCCCTGAGGACGCCTACAAGTTGTTTACTTCCACAAATCATAAGTTATCCTTGTAAAATACAACAACAGGCAGAAGGTGATGTGCTGGAAGGGCAGCAAGTGTGTGAACGGTGGAGGAAAGGAGGAGAGGTTGAGGCTAGACAATGTGAGAGGGCTGTTGAGGGTGGAAAGAGGAGGAGGAATGGAAAGGAACATGAACAAGAGAATGATACAGAAAAAGACAGTAAAGAGGGAGAATGAGGTGGAAAATGAGACAATGACAGAGAAATTGTGCAAAAAGTAATACAGAGAGAGGAAAATGTGGAGGAGTGAGAGAAGAAAGTGGAAGGGGGTCAACTGGAGGAGGCAGGGTGGCACGGAGATCGATAGCAGCTGCGAGTCAAAGAGTCGAACTGAGTGGGAGGCATCAGAGTCAGAGAGAGATCTGTTGATTATAATATACATGTTTGGTATAGCGAGGCATTAACAACCCACACTGAAACATATATATTTAATATGCCGTATGTATATTCTCTGTTCAATCTTGATGGTATAGTTCACAGAGTTTGAATGATAATGTGATAATCTTTCAAGAAAAATTGAAACTTGCTTTGATTTGACGCTGATTATTAACTGATATAAAAGAGTCAGTCACTCAAATCCTTGGTCTAATTTGTACAATTAAGGGAACTAACAGAGACCAATTAAGATGTACTTTAAATGCCGAAGAAAAGCCAATATACATTATTGTACTAATTTGAGTAATATCATGAATCTGAAACCCGAGACGTGTACTCCATGGATAGCTGAAATTTAAATGGACGGTTTTTGATAAATAGTCAGTGTCTAGTGTCTAAATGGCCAACAGATAGATGATATGAATGTAACTGCGGCGCCTATTATCTAAGCTAGTAGACACTACATTTATATTAGATGAAAGACTTTAATGCTAAACAGCTCAACAGCTAGCCTGGCTCTGTCGAAATTTAAAATCTATATTTACCAGCATATAAATAAAATAAAAATGATAGCTGACTTAGTGTCACATTTTTAAACTTTCTATACAAAGCTATATCATCCTTGATGTTTGGGAAACTGCCTATTGTCTAGCTTCACTGAAAGGCTGGGATTGTACACAAAGATATGTGCACATTTCAGTGGGCCTCAGGGTTCAGTTGTAGGCCCCCTTTTTTATTGTTTAAGTTAATGAGATAACATTATTTTTCCTCTGTATATCTTTGTGCCAAAGATTTTCACCTACTTCTAAGTCCGTTTTAAGTTTTCTGGAGAGTTGGACTTTAATTTTGTTTAAAAAGTATCACATTGACACTTTTGCACTAATCATTTTATGAGTGGTGTTATAAATTGTCGTTGTATTAATGTGCTGTCTGTGAATGTTTATTTTATTACTTATGTGTCTGCTGTCGGGTCTTAACCAGAACTCTTGAGAATGAGTCACAGTTTTTCAATGGCATTACTAATGGGGAAGAAAGAAAAGACCGAATCTAATTAAATGCAACACACTATAACACAATACAATACCAAACATGCAGCATACAAATCAAAATGGCATCTTCTGCTAGATATACCACGAGAATATCAGGAGTTTTCTTGAAGATATTTCACTTTCGTTTCTGAAAAGGGCAGAGCTAAATATGAATGGGCATTTCTCCCCTCTCACTATCTTCTCCTAAACAGAACCAGGTAGCTATCTCCGTTACAAGTGGTATAAATCTACATTTGATTAGTTGCTGTTGCTTGGATCCTGATGGATTTGTATAACAGCCACCACTATCTCTACAAAAGTGGCCAACAACAGGATCTATCGCTTCTTCCTATAGTTATATATCTGCTGTCTTACTGTATAAAAGACTGACATTGCAGATACAATTACTCCTTAAAGATACTTGCTGCTATATACAGTGACCGTTTCTGATTTATCTGCTGCTTACTGGCACAAGCTCCAGAAGTAAGAAGCGGGGAAGAGAGAGGAAGTGAGGTCATTTATCCATTTTGTAATTCCTTATCTGTCTGTGCAGCTGCTGAAGAGTGGTGATACATTAATCTATTCCACATTACCTCATTCAAGACCATAAATAAAAGGAGTGGTGTATGTGTATTTATATGCACTTCATTTTGTTACACAGAATAATCTGTTATCAGCATTGACTTGTTGACTGCCGCTTTTCAGCTACACTTGTGCGCTGAATATAAAACCATTATAAAACTGGATGAGTACCGTCAATTGCCAGTAAGTCTGCTTCTGCCTGGAAACACATAATTTAAATCAGAGGGGATTTAAGGCAGCCACTGCCACTGCCATACATGCCCAACTAGAACAGCAGCTGAGGAAGCAGCAAGAATTTGCAAGGTATCCTCATCTTCTCAAGTAGCAATAAATGAGTATCACATTATTCTGTAGCACATCACTTTTAACTTTGTATAATAGGATCAAAAGTGATTAAACTCACCATGCAAACATGTATCTCCTTTGCACTTACCAGGGATTGTTCAAATCTTTGCAATATAATTTGCTAGTCGGGATTAATGATTATTTTAAAACGCGATCTGTTTTTTGTTACATTTTTCTTTTCTTTTTTGTGACAAACACATTCATTTGAATATAAGAAGTTATCAGAAAAACCTAACTAGAATCTCCCAAAGACTTGACAGGTCTTAAATCAAAAGTGTCAAAAGTGTCAAAGGTTTAGCTGAAGTGTGCCCAAAGTCAAACTTTAAGAACCAAATATCTGTATGGGACTCTCAAAGAAAAAGCTCAATATATTGATAAATACATTCACAGACCATTTACATGCACGAAAACATAACACACTTTTTCCACTTGTGAGCTACTCTTAAAATGACCAGGTCGAAATGATCTACCTGTTTAAAAAAATGGCAGATATATTTATTTATAAATGAACTGAATAGTGTCCGGAGACATCATCAAGGCATGTAGATTAATCATGTATTGAAACTATTTTTGAGAAATTCAAGCCTGCATAACCAAAAGCATGTCATCGCTGTCAATCGCTGTCAATTAACTAACTATTAACAGCAAACTAAGTTAACGTTCGGTCCCCAGGGCGCATCAGAGCAGCATCCAACTTTTTTTTTTAGTTCAATTGCTGTTGTATAACTAAACAATGTGGACATGTACGAGAGACTAGAAACAGTTCATAGTAAAAAAGGGTTTGATATATTCAAACTTTTTCAACAAAGCAATTTCATTATCTTATCGATATCATTTCTTCGTGTTAAATAATGCTCCATCTGTCTTTGTGGAGATGTGTGTTGTGATGTGTGTTTTACTCTGCGCACCGCCGTGGCGCCCTAGTTGCACTGAACAATAGGCGTGTGTACATCGAGGGGATTTGAGCATGTAAAAAGGCGGCAAGAGTACGGCACCTGAATTAGAAATATAATGTTTCCTAAACAAAAACGATCCGACGCGTCGTCCTGGTGCGCTCCGGAGGCACTCTCTCTCTCGTTGCACACTTTGGGCATCCATGAGAGGGGTTGGTGCCGACTTGTCTATTTTGCCTATTTTTAATAGACTTTAAATTGTGCTTATGGCAACAAAAAAATACACTGGACAATATGACCGGAGAGATTTTAATTGCCGATATCGACCTATTGGGCACCCCTGGTCTAAGTTATAACTTGCATGGAAGTGTTTCATATATTTCAGAATCATTCAGTCTTAACTACCTGCAAATGATCTCTACTTATATGAACTGAATAGACATAACAGATATAGTGGATACATCAGAATCCATTGCTGAAAAAATGTGCCTGGTTGTAATCATGTACGACCAACATTTTAATGTGGCATCTGGTGAAAATTAGGCTTATTCAAACTACTTTATTTGTATTATTTATGTATATCTAAAATAAGACTTTGTGTTCCCAAATTGAATTAAGTCTGTTTTTTCCGTGTTGAGCCACTGCACATATGCAAAGATTTATTCAACCCCTCCGGCGGAGCGTGGGAGAAAAAACCCCACTGATATGGAAAGCTCCTGCCCTCACAATGTTACAGCAACTTTGTGATGAACGTGGATTGTGTTGTTGCTGGTAGCGTGGCGTGAAATGAATTAATCGCTTTGCAAAATGCTTCCGCGATGAAATGAAATGATCATACCCTGCCTTGTGTGATTCCAATTTCTCTCTCAGCGGTGCTGTGAAATGTTGACCAAGTGTCAATGAGCAATAACAGTCCCCCAAAGAGACACAATGAGAACAAATGTGACCTCTAATCACGGATGGAAAATGACTGGAAAACAAAACACAGGATTTGCACTGTGCACAAATCCCCTTTTCTCTTCCACATATCAGCTTTGAACTCCAACACTGTCCTTCTGATTGTACCAACACTCCTCAGCACAGAGAGACACATTTTTGTTTTTCCATCAGTTCCTTTAACAGCTCTAAAACCATCAGGCAGATAGTCACAGTGCTGAAAGGCTTATGTTCAAAAACAGAACACACATCCCTCGGTTCAGAAGGCGTGTGTGCTGCATGAGAGCAACATAGTAAAACAGAGGGATAGAGATCCTGCTGCTACTTTCTTTTGTATCTACTCAATAAGCACTGAGAGTAGCCTATAGTTTGAAACTGGTCCCACATCACCAGAACCTGAGGACTGAAGAATTACATCAGCAATCGATGTCCTTGAGAAAGTTACAGCACTCGTCTCTACTCCTGCGCACTCCTTACCTGAACTCTGCCTCCCTGAAAGAGAGACCTTGGGTGTGTGTGTAAGAATGAGGAGAAAGAAGTAGAGGAATGGAGTAGTGGCTCCCAAGGGTGCTGTAAGAAAACGTGCCAACAGGGCTGCGAGATTTGTTATTTCCATTATCTCCGCCAAGGAGGTTCTCTTTTCAGCTTGGTGTGTCTGTAACTGTTTGTCAGCAGCATTACGGGTAAACTACTTGCCTGATTTGAATGAAACTCGGTGGAAACCTAGGGGCCAAGTTTACAACAAATTGGAGTTACGAAACAGATAAATCCACTATTGTTCTATTTCGTGAAAGGAGTCTGGCCAGTATTGCCTGCACACGTGACATTTTACCTCTGATTTCTCCTGGTAGTTGTGTATTTGGGAAACAAACTACTGTCATTCTCTCCTCTGACTTTATAGGGATACATCTTTTGAGCAAAAGACAAAAGAAACTGTGTATGTGCAAAAGGACCTTGTTTACTTGTGGGATCATACCTTAATAGGAGGCAGATGGCCAAGAAAAGAAGAAGGCTGCGTGTTGCAGATCTTTAGCGAAGAAGGATGTTTCTTTTTTGTTTTATAGCACATGAAAACGTATAAAGAAAGGTGATTCTTTGCCCATGTCATCACTGCAGAACAGACCTTATTGCCACAGCTTGGATCCACTCTGCAGAGTGCTAAATAAAATAGTTAATAGTAAACTTAATATCTTTTCACCAATATTATAAAAGAAATTCCACCACAGTGGCCGGGCCAAAATGGAAGTGGCAAGCCTTGCGAGCGCCACTAACAATCTTGCATATCGCATAACAGTGCTAACAACAGCACTTATTTTTAAAGAGTTTAAAGTGTTAACCTGTGGTGAAACCAGTGGCAATATTTGCGGTAACTGCCATATGAGCACGATGCAAAGGGGCCGCGTTTAGCTAGCAAGTGGGACATGAAGGAAGGGCCATCTGTAACACAAATGTAATTATATGCTGTGCTGTAAGTCAATATTGACACTGGGTTTCACAAACAGCGGTCTACTGGGTAAGAGTTCTGTGTTGGTTTGACACAGAACTCTTACTCTAACCCAATCTCAACCAAATGCAAACTATTAATCCTTAACCAGTTGAGCCCTGAGCCTGTTTTTCAGGTTTCAGGCTCGAAAATGACATGCCCAGAACAAATGACTATATCTTCACTTCTAAAAGGGGTAAATTAATAATCTTTTTTCTCAAAGCAATGATACACCTGTGAGTTGGATGTAGAAAAGTCAGAATCAATATAAATGTTTTTATTTTAAAGTAAATTCAGATTGAACATAGTAAAACAAATTAAATTATAGTTTCCGTCCAAAGAAAAACATTACTTATAGTGAAAACCACCCTTGAATGATGGGATAGTAGACAAAAAGCTTTAGGAATCCAAACTATAACATATAATAAGTACCCTGTATCAAGATTGATGCAAAACAAATGAAATTTGACCTTTTTAGAGAGGTTTAGAAAGAAAAAAAACCACCAACTTTTGATCAGAAAGCAGCAACGGTAAGACGTATTTGCCGTTTTGGCCCCGTAAAGTGAAGTTGTGTGTTGTCTTTGCTGGCTTTTGCTGCCGCGAGTTTTGGTCGCACAGTGATGATACTTATACCATTGGAATATGTGGAATCTCAGCTTTCATATGATATATAGTTTGTGCAGATCCGATGAAATATAAAATATTTCTACCGTGAGTTATGTGTTAAGTGCGTTAGCACTCTTTCGCTTAGTGCTAATTCAGAGGCTCGGCGTTAGACTTGTGTTTTGTTTTGGTAAAAATTGTTCATATCGTCAGGTAGCTGAGTTTCTTCCCGTTAAGTGGGTATGGCACATTCATAGTTTGTTAAATGTTAAGAAGCCCTCAGACGCTGTTTCTTGCAAGATCCCGGGCTTAACAGGTTAAACTACGTCCCATAATTTGCTTCCGTTATAATTGATGCAGTCAAGGCCTAACAATTTGGATTCTCCCTGCAGTGATCAAGATTGCCAATAGTTGATTACTGCCTACTAAGCTAACCCTAACCCGAACACAATGCTCCCAATGGCAACGAGGTAAGCTATTTGGTTTATTTCTGTAGGTAAAAAAGAGAAGCCATGACTTTCCCCACACTAAAATGCATGTTATAAAAGGCACAAACTACTGAATGCATATGGCATTGTTGCAATACAAGTCGCTAAAGGGATTACATGAAAAACTGAATCAGTGTAAAAAGTTGTAACTTACTTAAGTATGTTATTTAGAATAAAATACTTAAATGCTAGAGTAGTAACTATATTATGTTTATATACATGTTTACCATCTTAGTATAGTGTGTTAGCATGCAATATTTGCTCATTAGCATCAGACAAAGTACAACCAAGGCTTATGTTATTCTGAATTGAGAAATTTACATTTTGATCTGATGTTGGTGCTATATAAACAAATAAAGTGTTAACATGTTTATCGCAATCTATTTAACAGTTGTTGAGAAAGAGTTTACCTCGTGTTGTTTCGCCAGACAATAAACTCCAGTTCATGACAGAATAATTAATCCTCTTGGGTAATGAATGTCGTATTTGCACATTTTATGGCAATCCAATAGTTGATCCAATGCAACAACTACCTACATGTGGTTATCTCACACGTTTTATATTTAGCAGAGTATTTATCTGCAAATTTACAAATCAAAATATGATGATTGAGATTGGATTATTTCACATAATGTTGAAGCCAATTAATGGAACCACTTGCGAAACAGAGAGTATTGGTGAATAAAATAATTATATTTTATATATTATAAAATTATGAAATAAAAAGGAGAACAATTAGATTAGAAATTGTTTCCTACCCATCATGTAGATTTTGTTTCCTCTTACGAAGGGCGTGGCTCCGTACCGCGGCGTGGGCATGGAAGTCATGGGCTGCCATTGGTCCTTCTCCGCCTCATAGACCCTCACCAGAGCCTGTGGCGTTGTGTCGGCTCCCATTCCTCCCAACGCGTACACCTTTCCATCTGCACAGACACAAGCCAGAGAGACAAATTAACACCTTTAAGGGGCTTATTATAATAAACTGTCTTGGTGCAACCATGCAGTCAATAGACATTTGCTTTCTCGCAGGTTAATGTGGGGTGAATTAAGGAATAACACCTCTTCAAACACCCAGAGAAAGTCATGCATCGCAGCCTTTCTGGTATAGCTGTCAAGTCTGCTATCTGTCTCATCAGTTCACATCCAAACAACCTGAAATATTTATGCCCAGGCCTGAGAAACCTTCAGATAACCCTTGAATAACTTACCACAAGGACACAGCGAACATCCCCAACTACTGCAGTGTCATTAGAAAAAAGAGAGAAGCAAGAGAAAGGGAGATGAGGAAGTGCTGAGTAAGTAAACACAGTGTTCCAGCTGGGAGGGTTGAAATGACAGTGAGGAGAGAGGAGAAGATACAGGACGTGAGGAGAGGAGGAATCAAGAGGAGAGGAGAGGGAGAGGAGAGGGAGAGGGGAGGGAGAGGGGAAGCTTCTCAGTCATCCAGACAAATGACACATCCCCAAAGCTGTGACTTAAACTGTGAAGAATAAAGCAATAATAAATGTGTCACTCGGATTGCAGCTCAACACAAGTGTTATAGTTAGCAGCTCAGCGCAATTCTGCTGTTGTATATAAAATAAATGACAAAGCTCATCTCATCTCAAAAATCCATGTCGCAATGCATCCATGCAGGCAGGGGCCAGGAAATAATGGAAGGAATTTGCATAAAGTCCTTGGCTTGTGAGACCAAATTCAAATCACCAGGGATCTAGTGCTGATTCCAAAGAGCCACACTTAGCACAATGTAAATGTCTGGTGCTGTAATGAAATATTAATTGAGGTAACTTTTCACTCAACATACATTATTATGCCTCTCCATTTAGCCTCATTTGTATTTTCACCAGTGTGGAAACGATTAGATTACTTTATGCCGACTAAGTTTAAGCAGGCTAGCATGGTGGTCGGAACAACGGCTATCCCCACTGAAATCTAAAGAAGTACACAAAGGATGCAGGGTAAACAGAAGAGACGAATGAGGAGAGCTTGGTCCAGATTTATGGAGAAAATAAAATAGAAACCGTGTCTCCCTCCCTCTCATCATGACCAACATAAGATCACTGGCTTATGGAATGGACGAGCTAATTGTGTTAGCTAGGAGTACGACAGAATAGATGTCAGTGTAAATGCCAAATGGTGGTGGCAACTTTTTCGTATCCTGAATGGTGTGAGGGACTTTCTCTTAATGGCTTTCACCAAACTTGTATTCATCATTTGGACTCGAGGCCTAAAATGTGTGACACTTTAATTTGAACTATAGGAAGTTATTTCAAATTTTAATGACGATCTTATAAATGTCCACTTAATGACGTAGTGGAATATAATGGCTGCCAGAGTGCTGGAGTGACAATTGTAAACGTTTTGCATTCAAGGCCACTGCACTGCACTGTGTGTGTGTGTGTGTGTGTGTGTGTGTGTGTGTGTGTGTGTGTGTGTGTGTGTGTGTGTGTGTGTGTGTGTGTGTGTGTGTGTGTGTGTGTGTGTGTGTGTGTGTGTGTGTGTGCGTGTGTGTGTGTGTGTGTGTGTGTGTGTGAAATGGAAAGTTGAAAGGATAACAGGTAGAAATAAAGTACATTCAACCACAATGAAAAGTGCATGTGTATAGATTTGCATCAATAGGTGTCTATAATAGAGCAAATTATTTCCCATGCATGATGTGTGTTGTGCGTGAACCAATTTAAAAACAGCACAAAGAAAGTACCTGTCCAACCGTCTGTCAGACTTAATTGATTTTACTTGAGCTTTTACACTTCCAACAGCTCCTTTGTCACAGCAGTGTGATAAGAATTTGAATACACAATGACAACCTATTTTCATTGAGATTAAATGTAGAATGCCCAGAAGTCATGTTCAATGATTTAGCATATTCCAAAATGTTTGTTCCATATAACATGAAAAGATATCCAAATATAATCTGGAAAAAAACAGTTTAAAAAATATTGCTTCTCTGCTCAATAAATATTAACAAGGTGAAGAAGGAATATATATTGAACTAAAAGACCCAAGACATTTGGACTTTTACTCACATTATACACAGTTCACAATTGATCACAGAGCCGATACAGCATAATCAAAGCATACCTGAGTCAATATCCACTTGAAAACCTGCTCATGTAATAGAATAAATAGGAAATTATATGATAAATATGCTGCTGTTATTTATTTAGTTAACCCAATAAAGTTGAAGGTGATAAACTGTAGATTCAGAAATCGGACATATATACAAGAAGATTGGTCAAAACATCACCTCTTTGACAACATATTGAAGACCGCAAATGAACCAAATGCAAACAGAAATAAAGTTATGCCTGCTCCCTGTATCTGTCAATAATTATTAAATCATACCGAGAGCTAAGACAGGGACTTTTTGTTTGACTTGTTCTTAAGTCATAAACACAGGAATAGATCAGCAGAATGTTTCCTTTGTACCTGCCCTTCAGGGCTTGTGTATTGTTCTGAGGGGTTAAGCTGTAACTGGTAAAGCGGCTGTTGTGTTTCTAAGGAGAGCGGTGCTGCCTGATTCTGCGCTTTGCACAGTGTGTAATTGTAGCCGAGCGTTGCCCAAAGTTCAAATGACTTGAACTTTGACCTCGATTGCTGCTGTCCTTTTGACTGGCAACCAATCAGGTAATAGCTGTGCTAAACAGCACAAGCTAGCGAGGGTGGTAACCATAGAAACAAAACTTAACTGGCTGTTTTCACCGGAAGGCTCTGCGTCCTACTTTGGGGTGAGCAAAGAGCAAATGACATATCATGAAGGCAGCTTTAGGGTTGGGGTAAGTGTCTGTGTCTGTGTATGCAGATGATAGCTTTGTTTTTGATGTTTTGTATTAAGAACCTGACTTCACTGCAACCACTCATTAAACCAAATCTAAACCAAGAAACACAGTCTGTTTGCCATGATGATAACTATCCACCAATCTGTTCTGTTGTATATCTCCCTGCTGATGTTTGACACTCCCTTTCCTCCCACTCTGTTACCTGTGACCCGCAGCCTCTCACCATCACTGTGAGCGGTGTGTTTTTGTGTTTGCATGAGAGCTTGTTTTTTTTTTGCCCAGCTGTGGACGAAACCATGCGCAATCTTCTCTAATTACAAAAACCATGATCTATTCTCTGCCCGTCACCCCTGGAGACTCCATGGCAACCACAGCGTAACCTACAGCCTGTTATTATAGGGTGGCTGTTTGGCAGGTTGGTCCTTTGTGGACAAACTCTGTCAGCACTTAGAGCCAGACCTCTACCTGGAGCTAAGTGACACAATAATAAGGTTTCTGGACAAAATATGCACCCTGTAATAATCATACAAATAATCAAAAACAACAAGTGCAAATTCAATGACAGAATTTGTTAAGGACAAAGCATTAATGGACCTTATTACACATAAGTTAAGCTGCATATTTTGTACTTCTCTTTTGTAACTTTGATGTACAAATCTTGCCTGCTGCTTTGTTTCCTCTAAAGCACGGCGTCTTTCATCACTCTCTGTGTCATCTCACTGTCACTTTCATCATTTTGTTTTTTCAAATTCGGTTTAATTGACTTCATCCATCCCTTCTCACCCTCTCTTATCCCTTGCAAATCTTTATATCCTTTTATACTTGTATTCTCCTCTCTTTTCATTTCCCTGCTCTTGTATTACATGCTCTGTTAGGGTAACTGTGGAAAAACTAAGATTGTTTTTATGTTAACATATAAATGTTACTTTAATGTTTCCAACGCACAATCATAATTTTATAGGATACATTTTAATGTATTTTTCTTGGAAAATAATTTGCTCCAGAAATGATCCAAAAAGGTGGGGGCAAAAATTAATTAAACCTAACTATTTCATCCTTAAGCCCTTTACTCTGCTTTCTTAAAATGTTCACTATTTGTTTTTCTGCCCCCATAATGCAGTGCTCTCAGACCAGCTTAATGTAAAGACATCAAGAGGGGTGCCCATGTTCCCTGCAGAACTTCATTTTTATTTACTCTGAGTATTTGATAAAAAAAATTAACCCTTTTTAAAGTTGAATAGCTCATTTAGTTTGTCTTAAAAGCTAAATGTTGTTTTAGGGGATTTGCTAACTTTGGGAACATTTGTTTACTGGCCTCTTAAGTTGTATTAAGTTAAAAGGGTGCTTATATAATAATATTTTCAAATCCAGGCTAAGACTGGATTTAGAATATTATTATAAAAAGTATGAAAATAAATACATATACTTATAATCTTTGCTAAACTTTGGATGAAAAGTTATAGCTATTACTGCTGCCTGGATTAGATTCACCAGCAACAATTTTTTTTTTGCTAATACGGCAAGTTTAAAATCCTGAAGCTGGAAAGTCCTTTAGAGACAGTGCAATTCGGAAGGATTCGCACTTTGATTCAAAATGTTTAGAACAGACCAGGGCTGACATCCTGCATCTTTCTCAAAGGTGCAGCATTGGTTTGGAAGTGTGCGATTATGTGCGTGTAAATGGTCTGCATGTATAACACCATTTTCCAGTCTTCAAAATCCCTAAAGCACTAACAGTGTCAGCATTTACCATTCACACACACATGCATACAGAGGCTGCCACAAAAGATGCCACCTGTCCAGGCACACTAACATTCACACAAACTCACACGCCACTGGCCATGCCATGGGGAGCAACTTGGGGTTAGGTATCTTGCCCAAGAACATATCGATATGTTGACTGCAAGCAGGGCCGCCCCTCCCTACACGCAGATCACGCAGACTGCGTGGGGCCTCACCTCGCGGAGGGGGCCTCATCTTACGGAGAGAGCCTCATCCGAAGCGCAAATGCGGTGCACCGTTATGCGCTTATGCGGCACAATTACTGTAAGCGCGCCACAGTTTCGAGGCTCCTGCGTGTGCTCCACTAGCACCGTCCCCCGTCCCCCGTCGACGCTCGCGACACAGAGGGCCTCATCACATAA